TAAAATTGGACACAAATATTTAGCATAGATTAGTGAATCGTAAGAAATATTTTTGGGGAAATTGCAAAAATACCACTTTATATGTGCACATTTGGAAAAATGCCACTTAAGAGTGTTTATTTGCAAAAATACCACTAATTATAGATTTTTAAACCCTATATCTTAAAATTCTAAACACTAAAAAATGTGTTGACCCCTAAACCCCCTTAAACCCTCATAACTAAACCCTAATAGAACATAATTAACCCAAACATAAANAANANAAANAAAAAATAATTTTGAAAAAGTGGCATTTTTGTAAAAATTTCAAAAGTGTGACATTTTTATAAAGTGGCACTTGGAAAGTGGTATTTTTTGAAATTTCTCAATATTTTTCATATTATGTCAATCAAATTAACATTCTATTCTACATCCTCTATGTAGAATAACATATAACAAAAAAAAAATGAGTATCAAGAGAACTAAGGCTATTTTTGTCGTTTTTATACAGCAAAAATGGTTATTTACTTGATTTTTTTATTTGTATGCTATATTCTTGATTTTATTATGTTTTTTTTGGTTATTACACTAATTCTCCCGTAGTTTTTTGCGCACTTTTTACTTTTTTTAACATATTTTTGTTTCTCTATGTGGTGTGCACAAATACACTTGAAATTTTTTGAGAAATGTCATTTTTGAATTGCAACTTTTCAAAAAATGCCAATTTTAAAATCTTTGCAAAAGTACCATTTTTTTTTCCAAAATCATTTACTCAACACATCATTTATATTTGGTTTAACTATATTGTATTAAATTTTAGTTTGAGGGTTTAAAGATTGTTTGAGGTCAAAAATTTTTTTAGAGTTTAAAATTTTACAATTTATGGTTTAAAAATCATTAATAAGCGGTATTTTTGCAAACAAACAACTTATAGTCACATTTTTGTAAATGGACAAATCAAAATGATATTTTTGCAATTACCCTAACACGCTTTCACATTCAGTTAAGCAAATATATTTCAAAATTTTATTTATGTTTCTTATATTTGAAATGATTAACAAGATTAATGAGTATATATAGATGATTCGTTTTTTTTTTTTTTGTAGTGACATCTCTCATTACTATATAGGGAAATTAGGCCATATATTAGGTTTCTTATGCATAATTAGGTATCTAACACTAGGTAAAATATAATTAGGTATCTAAATTTTGTACTACCTAAATTCCATTTTTAGCCTTGTTTATTTACCTAAGTTCTTTGTTTTTACTTTAC